TGAGTTTCTCTTCAATATTTCTAATTTTAGTGTCTGCTAGACTAAATCCAGCTTCTACTGCTTTCGTTAAGTGCACTAAGGATGGGTCATCATTTATATTAGTTTCAGTGGGCAAGGTAAAATTAACCGCATGGACGCCTTCGCCATTGCTGCTGGTCGACAAAAACTCATTCTCGCAGCCGTTCATAGCTACGACCGACGTGACACATGCGTTAGCTTTAAGATATTTTGATAAATACTCATCTGTGTTGTCCTTTTCGATTACCAACTTTTTTGACTTTTGCCATTTAAGAACAAATTCAGAATCTTGGCCAGCTATGAAACGCTTAGCACCTCCTCCCGGTGACTTCCATATTCCTGCCATTTTTAAGTCTTCGGCAATATAATTCTTTAACTCAGTATAGCTCCCCAACCAACGATATGATTCTCCATCAAAGATTAAGAAATCGGTATATTTAGTGCCATCCATGCCTTCAAGACTATTTTATTTCAAAGTAAAATTACAAACAATCGGCGGAGCACAAAAGACACGTCTGCCCTGTTGAAACAAGCGCGAAATAATCATTCTCCTTATTTGAGTTATAATAAATTCTCATTTTTGAGATTCTAATAATTCTCATTTTTGCGATTCTGTTACTTCTCATTATTATTGGAGATTGAAGAGATTCTAATAATTCTCATTATTTAAAATTTTAATAATTCTAATAATTCTCATTATTTGAGATTCCAATAATTCTCATTATTTGAGATTCTAATGATTCTCGTTATATATTTGAGATTCTACTAATCCCTATTATCTGAGATTCTACTAATTCTGATTATTCGAGATTATACTAATTCTCATTATTTGAGATTCTAATAATTCTCACTATTTGAGATTCTAACGATTCTCGTTATATATTTGAGATTCTACTAATTCTTATTATTTGAGATTCTACTAATTCTGATTATTTGAGATTCTAATAATTCTCATTATTTGAGATTCTACTAATTCTTATTATTTGAGATTCTACTGATTCTCATTATTTGAGATTCTAATAATTGTCATTATTCGAGATTCTAATAATGAGACTTTTGAAAAGACTAATGATTTGAAACCTTTTAATGTCCTGCCGGTTTTCAATCAAAATTTGTAGCATAATGTTTATCATACATACAGATTCACCTACCCTCCTCCTTTAATGAATTTCACGACATAATCTTGAACGATTTTGTATGAAATGAAGGCATAAAGAACAACACAAATGACGAGGAACAGCAAGAAGAGCAAAATGTACCCTAAGATGAAAAAAAAGGTATAGTAAAAGCGTTGAAGGGTATTTATCTTATATTATCAGATTTAAATTATCGAGTGTAAATTTAGATACATTTATTTGACCTATAACCAGGAACTATAAAGTCCCTTGCAGGAATCGAACTTGCGGCCCTGCCACTTCGGTGCAGCACTCTGATCAACTGAACTACAGATACCAGTTGTCGAGCTCTAACCACAAGTTCATGTACAGTGTATACAGTACAGACCCATTGCACTGACGTCACAAATCCTTAGGGTGTCCTCCAGATGCTCCCTAATAATATCTGTTCGGGTACAACAACCACATACAGCACAAAAATTAACTATTTTAATACAAAATTATTATAAAGTTTTACAAAATTTGCATTGTTTACAAAAGTTATATTATGCATAGATTGCTTATTTGTCCTCCAGATGTGTCCTCACCGGCGCTGTGACGCCATGTGCAATGGGTCTATACTGGGGTACTGCCAGATTGGGTAATTTTTTTACTATTTAATAGTTGGATCGGCAAAATTTGTACGAAGAAAAACATTTCTCTTCGATGCCACACCCCACCATAAATAATACAATGTCCCAAGAAAACTAAAGCCTCTGCGGAGGAGAGAGAACGTTCCCAAAGGCAAGACTTACCCCACAAAAAGTAGCCAATCTGATAACTAGAATATCTTAGTCCTTTTCCCTAACAAAAAGGAACGAACTTTGTATATATACCTAATAATTTTGAGATGCTCTTCAGGGTTTTTTTCTGGGATTTTTTAGGGCCGTTAAACGGCCCCAAAAACTCAATCTTGAATTGAGTTTTGAAACTCAATCTTCTCACCAAAGTTTCAGTGCAGCAAAAATGAAGTTGTTTGAGTTAAATTCGTGACGTGTGGAAATTAGTTTTCAGTTGGAAACCCGACAATTAAGAAAAAATGGCTGGAATTCATCTCACAACACAAGAAAAACTATGCATTCGCCATCTTTAACCAGTTTATAGTGCCCCTGCTTTAAAACATTCCGTCTCAACTACATTTATTGAGTACAAGTGTCAGCCCCCGGTAGGGGGGGGGGGGGATGCAGCCACCCCAGTTGTTCAGCTAAATTCAATCTTCTCTGCAAAAACGGACCCAAGAGAAAATCCTGAAAAAAACCCTGGCTCTTTCAAGTGGTTAGTAATTCTTCTACTTTAACTTTCTATATCGTTCTCACGTTCAAATTAAACAGGAATGGCAATGTATATCGTTCAACTTACAATCATAAACTGTGATGCACTGATTTTTTTTGGAATAAACGACTTATCTCCTTTGAACATCCTTAGCATGCAATTCCTGCAGAGGAAACCAGAAAATACTCATTTGATTGACAATGCAAGAACAAGTTTACGACTGTCAAAAGTCAAAACTCATATTTGGGGTTAGTGGGATGATTTTAAATTTTTTGGTTATTTTAAAACTTCCATTCTCTCTTCTGAAGATAACATCACAGAATACGGCCATACAGAATGCCGACTCGGCCAAAAAAGCGGAACTGCCGCCACGCCATGATTCGTCATCAAAATGCACTCGCTATGTTCCTAGCCAGTGCACTTATGAGAGGCATTCACCCCCTGAATGTCTGCCATTTTGAATATATTTGAATATATACGGGTGGCGCAAAAAAAAAGTTAACCTGTTTGATTTGTTTTAACTTAAAAGCTAAAAGAGCTATTACACTTAAACTACGTGCATTGCATTTAGTATTGTCTAACCTAAATTTTGATATACGCCCTGTGCAATTTCCTGCAATATTGATCGAGAGAGCTGTGTTCAAAATTGAATAAACATTTTGGGAAGTGTCGAGAATTAGCTAAAAACGGCCTGTTAAACTAATTTGGTGGCCGTTACCATTTTATCATAAGTATTCGTTTCAGTGAAGTGAAGTTTAAATTAAAAATGTTTATTGGATGGATGTGCTCTTTTATTTTTGTTTAAGGTCTTTGGGAATGCATAAAAATTAAATTATGAAGCGATTTTGACTAAAAGATTTATTCTAAATATTTATGAAATAATGGGAATGAAATTCTAATGTTCCAAGAAAGAAACGTCAAGTGTTTTTTTTATAAATACGCTTCGTTTAACGAAGGACCAAAGAATTTCGATATGTTTAGAATATGCAAGAATAAATAATGCTTGTGAGGTTATACCGGCGGCGTTGGGCAGGTCTATGACAACGAACGTGTACTTTCTGACTATAGTGCGTCCAAGCACGTGTTATTGCTGTATTAAATATTTGATAGGCCGTTTTTGGCTAATTCTCGACACTTTCAAAAATGGTTACTCAAGTTTAAACGCAGCTCTCTCGGTCAATATTGCACGAAAATGCACAGCGCGTATATCAAAATTTAAGTTAGACAATACTGAATGCAATGCATGTAGTTTACGTGTAATAGCTCTTTTAGCTTTTAAGTTAAAACAAATCAAACAGGTTAACTTTTTTTTGCGCCACCCGGTATACATATATGTATATAGTTCACTGGCTAGGAACAGGGCGACAGCATTGCAACGGTTACTCCAGAATCATAGGCATATTAAGTTGGCCTTCTCTAACGTCTGTATTCTGTAATACACTTCTTGAAAAATTTGTCGAGAAAAAGACCGCGTGCATGCAGTTAAAGCACATCAAGGAAAATATACGAATTTTAGACATACTTATGATTCTCCATGAAACGAACAAGAGAGACCATACAAAAAATAGCAGCAAGAATTGTAGCAGCAATCATGGAACCTATATATAAAGAAAAAGATATAAAGTGATAAATAACTTCATTTAAATCTTTCGTTTCTTTACCTTCAAGCATATTTTCCATATAAATGAGCGACGTTGGGACGTGAATGCAATTCGAAGGGCCTTCGCTCGAAACGTCAAAGTTCACATTTTTCAGGTAGTTGTATCCCTATCAGTTCGGAGCGTTCATTGCATCTTAAAATCAGAGTAACGAGCGAAAAGATGTCCGATACTAAACTTATAAAAATAGGAAGTAGATTACTGGCTTGTGTAATTTCGAGTCACGAGAAGTGGTACTCAGCAAATTGGCTAAGTAGAAATCTTTTCCAGCATAAACATCAGTACACGACATGTTTCCTTATAAATGTTATTTACTTGAAGAGTTTATTTCGAACAAAACTAACCAAGCACCCCTCGCAAAGGATCCGCGACGTTATCCGCCAATCCTTTGTCAGTTGCTTTCCTAACTTGGTCCAACAAATAGCTGCTGGTAAACACAAGTTCGATGGAGATCTAAATGAAACAACATTTGCACTAAATATTGCGTGATGATATACGGATACTTCACTGTATATTGAGATTTTAAATTTAATACATGGACAATATTCAGACCGGGTTGATAGAAGAAAAATATTTTATTTTTTTGGACCACTTTGTTTTTTTGCATGGCCAGACAGGGACAAGATCTAGGGAGGAGAGGTTAGGGTCCTTGATTTTTTAAATCACTTTTTATACGCCACCTAAAAGCAATTTTTGAAATTCAGTGTGGTTTTTTCATAAGTACATTTCAGTAGGAGGTGTTTATTTCGAGAAAACATTTTAGTACAATGGGATACGCGGCTAAATCCACTGGAGGGGGGGGGGGGTTAAAGATTTAGACGTTCTCCTGTCAATGCTGTTATAATTACTCATGAACAAATATTGGGGGGGGGTTGTTTACTAATTTACATATCTTTTCTATACTTATTACTTAGTATTTTTAATTTAAAACTGGTTGACATATTACTTCAGCAGCCGAACTGAGAATTTCCATGTATAGTAAGCCCTAAAACATTTCCATTTCAAATATCTAAGTAAATGACTCACGTTGTAAAGTAGAATACAGCAGATCATGACCACGGAAACAGTTTGAGTTGAAAACTTAAAATCTAAGAAAAAAGTTGGAAAAACTTGATTGTCCGGTTTTAAACTCATCAGAACTGGAAAAGCTATCCTGATTCGGTCTAAATAGATCGCTTTGATGGCGCTTTTCATTTACATGCATGGCGGTTGAGAAACACAAAAGAATAGCTAAATATTGGCAATTTAAATGCAATTATCATTAAAGCTGTAAAATTGACGCTATGTTTATACAGCAATATTAAGCCTGTTTCCATATGGTCGTAACGGTCGTAAAAATTGACGATCTTTCTCATCAGCCGAAACACAACATTTTAGAACTGAAAATATGCGGAGTGATTATAACTAGAGAATACTTATGATTTATATGTGGTTTACAGGTATAAACTATTATAAACTGGGCGTTGAGAAAGATTGTGACTCTATTTTTACGACCATTACAAGCATATGGAAACCAGGATTAAGCAAAACTTACTGAACTTCAGACATCATTTTCTTTTTGGCGTACCAACTAAATTCTCTTCATTTTAGCATTATTTTACAGATAAAGCACTATAAACATACTTTTTGAGTTTGTTTGCCGCTTGGGAAACATATCAAAAATTTAAAACATTGAATATAGTCATAGCCAAGTGGAAAGTATATTTATTAGTTTTGAGCGCGTGTTACGTAACATACAAAAGATTCCCCGTTAGTCAAGACTAATTTAGATGTTTAAAGGGAAATGGCAATATATTTTTTTATTTTCTCATTTGAAAGAACTTTTGAAACTATTTAATAACTTCTTTTACCGATTCTTCATATTTTGCTTAGTTCTTGAAATATTTTCACTTCAAGTAATGAGATGTCCGCCATCTTGGATAAATTTTTGATCTCATTAACGGTAGTTTTGGTGACGTCATAACAGGGATTAACCATATAAAAGTATTCGTTGCTGATCAAATATTGATTGGTAGATGTTCTAAAAGGTTTTAAGTGATCTTGACATTTCCAAGGGCAGACAGAGTAAAATTTTGAGTGCAAAATGATTGGTGGTTGTCTAGATAAAAATATTGCGTGACCCCTGTTGTGACGTAACATGCATATCTACAAAAATCCAAGATGGCGGACATTTAATTTCTTTCGATTAAAATATTTGTATAGAAGTAAGCAAGGTTTGAAAAAACGGTAAAAGAGTTTTATATATGGTTTTAAATGTTCTTTCAAACGAGAAAATAAAAAAGTGTATTGCCATTTCCCTTTAAAATAGAAACCAATGGATCTGAAGCACTGAACTTCTGGATCCGAGGCACTTACTTTTCTCGGGATTGTAAATTTTCCTCAAGTAAAACTCTATTCCTGAATATTGGCGGGCGGGTCTAAAAATGAGGTGAAATATTTTATTAGTATATACACAAGGATAGTTTAAAAAATGGATAGGAACTCCCCCCCTCCTTCCAGATTGAAGGCAAACGTTTTGACCCCCTCCGCCCCGGCCTGTCAGACCTCAGGGTGTTATAAATACCAAAGTCAGCATCGTGGAACAACTTGTTGCCTCGTCAACCTTGTTACAAAATGATAATTCACATCTTGTTGACAAGTTGTGACTCAATCATCTTAATATCCCGCCACGAACTTACTTTGATTTAATGAGGTCTTTCACGTGATCACTCAACCATGGTCGGATCAATTTCACATGCTCATGAACATGTTCATCCTAAACGTACATTATGTAATATATGGAATTTTAAATATGAACGATATGAAAAGTCATTGAGATCAATGGTGAGTCGAAAAATGCCTCCGTTATGTAATAAAGCATCAGCGGCCGTGTTGTATCAGATATACAAACTCGAGTCGAAGGCGTGAAGAGGTTGTATGTCTGATACAACACGGACGCGAAAAGACGCCAATGCTTTGTATAGCTTGTGAAACGTCTCGATGAGAACATTCGCATTCTTCAACAATTTAAAATAAATTAATGATATTTGGTGAGAAGATTAAACTTAAAGTTTATGCAAATCATCATGATTCTGTTTCAGATTTCTTTTGTGTTTTCTTCATGAATTATTGACGAGTTTCACAAGATGTGTTATGGGTTAACTGAGGATGAGATGTATAATCAAATTGTGAAGAATGTCGTATATATATACGATGAATCATTGTGATGACAATGCCCACGCGAGCGTCACGCGACCGTGATAATTTCCACGCGCGAGTGTTTAAAGCTATTTCACTTGCAGAACCTAGAATAAAATCAACACACATATCTGGGCTGCCTATGATCTGACCGTTACTTACGTCATGAGAAAATAGCTGCATTCCGAATATTCCGTATTCCTTGATTTCCTTATAAAGTACAAGTATAAACTTGCCCATAATAAACAGTTGACATAACATCGTTGGTATCTTTGGTAATATCTTTTCAACATATTCATTCCACGTCGTAATATCCTAATAATTGAAAAATTAAAATACACACTATGACAAAATTGACAATTATTCACCGTCATGCAATGAGGTGAATAATTATTGTTTTAGCATATACCACAACAAAACAAAAATAACCAAAACGCAACGAAAAATTCTAAAAACAGCTTCGTTTAGTACAAGAATGTGCTCGTCTGTCACGAAACGGGAAGCTATAGAGCGTTTGCACTCATTCCCAGGGACCAGGGTTGTTTGCCATTTACATGGAAACCCCACCCGGTTTGAAATTGCGCTAATGGTAAGCAAAATTTCGGATAGAAAATCCCATTCCGATTATGCGCTTTCCATTTGCGGTGATTGACCAGAAGGCACTGAAGAGTTGTTTACCATTTACATGGAAAACCCATCCGGTTTGAATTAAACTGCGAAGAGCCTGGAACTGGTGAAAAAATTTAAAAAGATGTAAATGGAACAAAATTAACCGGTTGAAACGTTCCAATCGGTAAGAGAGGACAACCATTTTAAACAAACCGTTCATTCCGGAAAAGTTCCAGTTGGGCCGTCGAAACTATGCTTGTTCCATTGACTTTCCGTATGGAATCACCAGAATTTCCGTGTAAATGGTAAACAACCCAACTGAACAAAAGCCATGGCGGCCATGTTGGTGTTCCAGTCTAATTAAAATTCTTTTCAATTGGAACACCGACATGGCGGCTGTGACGTCATGTGCAAACGCTCAATTTGTTTTTATCCAAATAACAGGGGCGGATCTAGCCTCATCTGCAAAAAGGGGTGCAGGTTTTCCATGGGGTGGTACATGAGGTTCTCCTCTGCAGTCTGCAACGCTACTATCCCAGCATTATCATTACTTGAGATGACCGAATGTGTATGTTCGCCGTTCTGTTACGTTTTACATTATCTTTTGTTTATAAAGTTTATATCGGCTTGTTATTACGTATGCGGTGATTGGACAGTTGCTATAGCACAGCACAGTACAGTAACTTTGCTTGTTAAAGAACAGTATATTTGAAAATATGGCTGCACAACAACCTCGACATGTTTACATATTTAACCATGATATTCAGCTAAAGCATTCTGAGTATTTTCTCGTGAGCTCATAAATCAATTAAGGTTACACAACACCTTTGAGTGTTAATTTTGCCTAAAATGTTTTTATTGGTTTCCATGAAAGCATTAGACTAGTTCTACTATCTGACCAAGTTTGGACGAAAATTGTTGAAAACTCGCAGAGTTATTTAATAAAATACATTTCGCTTGCAATAAGAAAAACATTGAAAATGTAATTTTCTCCCGAAGAATTTTACGGCAATTACTGATTTTTGAACGAGTTGTGCTCCTGCGGGTTTTAACGAATTTTTCTCAAATTTTCACAGGACATAGCTAAAGACGTCAGTTTCAAAATCGTGTTCGGCTTTGTTCTAAGTTTGGATATTTTAATAATAAGGAGCAATTCACACAAACGATTCAGAAATATATTGCAGTCGTCAAAGAAATCGCCATATCAGCGGAATGACGAAATAAACAAAAATTTCCGAACACAATTTTTTAGAACAACTATTTTACTGTATAAAAATGATATTTTCATAAATATATCTTAAAACCAGCAGGAACATAACTCAAAAGCGTAAAGGTACCGCGACTTAAGATTTTCCTGAATAATTCTTACATTATTTTATTGTTTGTCAATTTTACAACTTTATCATATTTTGCATGCACTCGCTAACATTTGGTGAAAATTTGATGAAAATCGGACTGATTTTGAGCGCGCAGTAGCGATTTTCCGCAAAACGCCAATAAGGGTGTCCTGTAACCTTAAATCGTTTCAAAACATCGATACACGCAAAACAGTAGACGTTCCGATAATCGTTATTCGAAAAGCAGAAACGGTCGTGCTGGATGTCTCTAGGGGAGGGGATGCAGACACCACTAGATGGGTACACACCCCCTCCACCCCACGATAGATCGAGCACTATATCCATCTGAATAATTCGTAAATTAAATGTGCAAATTATATGCTTAAAGAACCCCTAGACATACTGTATATTAATAAGGTGGACTGCAATGATTTGGATTCTTGCACTTCACTTGGTGGAATTAATATTAGAATGTTAGGATTTGTAATCCAAGTGAGTATATAATATACATTTTAAGACCTAACCAGGAACGACTGCGAAAAATGCAGCACAAGGTCCTCTGGTAGGAATTGAACCTACGGCCCTGCGATTCACAACCCGCACACCCGATTACCTATATATACATGAACTTATGGTTACAGCTCAACAGCTGGCCTCTGTAGCTCAGTTGGTTAGAGCGCTGCACCAGAATCGCAGGGCCGTAGGTTCAATTCCTACCAGAGAACCTTGTGCTGCATTTTTCGCAGTCGTTCCTGGTTAGGTTTTAAAAGAATGTATATACTCACTTGGATTACAAACCCTAACATTCTAATGTATATTATAATAATGCCATTAATGGACAAAAATATACTTACATTACACTTTTGAAGATCTGCCGTCATTGATATAGAAAAACTGCAATGAAAATACAAAATAATTTCTATATGACTATAATAAGTCTCACAAAATGCTGTTTGCATAAATACTTAATATATAAGTCAAATCAGGCTTTTAGCCAGGGTCCTAAAAGAAGGCGTCCAATTTTGGTACAATACATCTACAGTAACGAGGGGGGGGGGGTTCGAGAAAACGTTCCTCTGGAAAACCTTTGAAGTTTACGTTACTTCATATCAGTATCTGTTCCAAGCTCGTTCGAAATTTTTCAAACACACTTGGCTTTGTGAGTACTGAGTTTGTGCCGCTATGCTTCTTTACTTAACTACGACATTTTCATTTAGCCAGGTACACCACCAAATTGACCAAAATGTCAAATGTACAATTATAGTAATGAGAATTGAAGCTATTTCGTTTGAGATATATTAATATACTTAGGGAAATAACTGAAAATAATTTGGGCGTCCAAAGGCGTCCATTTTTTGCTCTATGGGCGTCCCTTCTGGCTAAAAGCCTGAGTCAAATGTAGTGAGTGACTTGATGGCATGGGGAACCGTTGGAATTTTCAAAACAATGAAAAGAGTCTGAGGATGGTTCTGACTTCTGTAATAGTCGACACCTTAATGAGATTGACGTTTACAGTGTTGCAAAAACGTGTAGAACTTACGTATATGTGATTTGAAGTTTGCTGCTTGCAGTTCAAGATCTCTAGTAATCACATGTAACCCTTATTACAGTTAATTACCTCGGGTCGGTACGACACCGAGGTCTTAAATTCGGCTCCTATTTTTTTTATTTATTGTTTTTCATTTGTGTCGAGCCGCGCGCGTAGTCGAAGATCGAAGGGCCTGCGGAGGAGACGACAACTTCCGGTAAATAAGTGTACTTCCGGCAAGCATCGGCCAAAGCGTAACGGAACCCGAAGCTGTCCTTGCACAAAATCCGTCAGAATTGTTGATTTAAAACCAGAAGATGTGATAATTTTGACATACATGTTTAGCTGGACAACTATTCTCGAGTATATGTTGATATAATGTACAATACATCGTATGCATAGCATGGGAATATCGCGGCCAACTTTCACTTGTTATCTATTATAATTACTGACCCGAATCAAAAGTAATTATTTTCGGCTGGAAGACTACTGTACGTTGCTGCTTGTCGGGACCGTATGACAATGAACCTATCCAACGTTACACTAGACATTTGTGAGGACATGCATATAGACATAACCATAGGCACTGTAGTGCATTGTGATAGAACAGATTTCAGTTTAATTAATCGCCCTAAATTAAAATCTCCACAAGCGGAGGTCAATTATAGTGTTCTAGTTTACATATTATCATTAATGATAAGGTTTACTCAAATAGCGTATTGGATAAACACGGGAATAGAACTTATGGTGTATTCTGCACATGCGTATATCTAGGATAAAATCCCACAAGCGCAAACGAAACTATTTCTCTATAAAATTGAACTGAAAAGACTCACAGCGACCGTTTCCAACAGTGCTTCAGGCACCCGACGACACCGTATGGGGGGCCTTTAGCACTGTCACCTTCTCATCTTGGGATGTTCACGTTATCGCGTGTACATGTCAGGGTGACGAAGATGCATTATTGCTAATAATGTCTGTGTGCACTGATGCACGCTGCATTATTTTTAATAATGTTGTGTGCTATTTTAACGCGTACATAGAATATGACGCGTATAAACATTTACCCCTGAGCCGGAATTTCCCTATACAACCAAAAAGGCCGCTCCCGTTTTTCAGTAGAACGTTAAATGAAAACTTCTCGACATTCGCTGATATAATGCAGAGAGAAAACAATAGGTTTGATGAGGGCCAGTAATTATTGTCAATAAAATATTAAAACGGAGCTTTGATTAACTGATTCACCATTTATACTAGTGAACTATTAAACTATCGTGATTTATACAATTTTTGGATATTTACAAGACGATTCCCTATCCACCGACCCGAGGTTAACGCCGAGTCGGCGTCTTGTTACTATAATAATTAGTATGTATTATTATTAATAATAAATTCGAGCATACAGTGCGTACTTACTAGACAACAGCGTAAGGAAGTCCCATCAAAGCTCCAATAATCCTGTGATATGATGCCAAACATCCAAAGTATGGATAATAAAGGAAAGCAACTTCGAGTGCAGTCCCAATGCTAAGAAATGCTACAGACGAAAAATTGAATGCTTCAATAAAACCGCAAGCTTATTCAGGTTAAGAGACATGTATGATAAAAAGAATTTGCATTAATGATAACCTTCTTCTACAGTGTGTATACAAAAAAACTGAACCCTTTTAATCAAATTCAAATTAGCTATAACGTATTGTAGTAATTTGACAGCTCTAATTGCTTTGAATTAATGGTTGGGTAAGAACACAAGGTCTTGTACTCATGGCACGAAACTCAAAGAAATAAAAATTAGAAAATTTAAAAGTTTTTAAGAGTTTTGTCCCATGAGTACAAGACCTTGTGTGCTTACCCAACTATTAATTCAAAGCAATTAGAGCTGTCAAATTACTACAATACGTTATAGCTAATTTGAATTTGAAAGGTCAGTTTTTTTATACACCCTGTATAACTAAATAAATAAAGCTCCCATCCTCTCTAATAAGCCTGCATAGCAGGGATCAATGTGAGAAAAGCATTCTATACCAGTTCCCCAAACATTCTGTCCCACATCTCTGACAGTGATCAGATTAAAGATTGATCCAGTAGCAGCTCCAAACACACACATGATGGCCAGGCGGTCATTATCAATACCGAGGAAATCTATAGGCCTATACAGGGTAAAAGCATTACGTCAATAGGAGCAGGATTTCAAATTTTATAAAAAACATCTTTTCGGTTTCATGACGTGCGTTTATTTGTGCGAACCCATGGGCAGTCATAACAAATCTGGCTATGGCTTAATTGTGGGTAGACAAGCCGGTTAAAATGCGCGAGTTGTTACAGACTTACAAACAAGCTGTTGTCAAGCCAGTATCAGGATGCGTTCACATTGCTTGTTCCCAGTCAGTCAGAGTTGTCAAAACAAGTGTTATATTGCAAGTCCAAGTCATTTCGTCCGTGTCCAAGTCAATTAGTCATTAATTTATTTAATATTTTAACTTTGCCAAGTAACAATAACATGCAACATTTAACAGTATATTTACAACAACATATAATGTGTGTTCCATTGGCAGAGTGCACGCTACAGTTTTCACCAATTACAGTTTTCACCAATTACTATATAACAACAAATACAAATCTAATAACAACACGATATTTGACAAGAGGACAGATTACGAGACTTGTTACAAGACAAACATATAGATTCCCATGTCCTTGGATCATCAACGTCGAACTGGGGATCGCGTGACCCATCTTATATACCGTGAACTGGGGAGTCACATTACAATTTTATATTAAATTAACCCATTAAGTGGCCATGCGCCCAGATGCGCCCTATTTTGTTATTTTACTCTGTCTAACGCCAGACGAATAAAATCGTCTGGGGGAGACTAGTGCTGCCACTCAATGGGTTAAATATTGATAGATTAAAATTTAGTCTAACATGCAAGTTACATGTCCACTGAAACAAGAGAACGGACAAGAAACATAGCACCATGTGTGTAAATAAAAACCCACCAGTCAGGGATCACTGTACAAATTGTAGAATGTTAATTTTCACTAGATATTTACAACTTTATGTTTGACTTGCATGGGTAACAAGTCATTTCTTGCAAGTCCAAGTCAAGTCAAGTCAAGTCACAAGTCATTTTGTTTGAGTCCAAGTCACAAGTCCTTACCTACAAGAATTGCGAGTCAAATTAGTCCAGGTCACTTAATTTGCCTCAAGTCTACTCTGTTCGCAGTCATTGTGACAATTAATTAGTCTAGAACAAGTTGCTATATCACCTTGTTGCAAGGTTTATGACGTTTTATCATGTAAAAAATCAACTGCCAGAGACTGAACTTACACAACAAGCCCAGGTCGACCTCCCCAAACATCTTTTTTAAAACTTGTTCTTTTTCGTAGAAATGCCAATACGGTGATAATTATTCCCTGAAATAGAGCATAGGGGTTAGCCTTGACTGGCAACTCAAGTCTACCAAGAAAACAAGTACTAGCCTTAATTTTACTCATGAGTGACAGACATCCAAAATGACACTGTTTATCAAAGTATCAAACAGGTCTTCAACAAATAACTTAAAAGATTACCACGATTGACACAACACAACGATTAACGAACTAAAGCTAGGAAATGATACAATTACTTCTATGAGAATGGTTAATTGTTTTAATGACTATTTTACAAGTATTGGTGGTAAAATTGGAGACTCCTGCTCTGAACATGCACACTCAGAATTTAAATTTTGGCAGGCATATGAGTGATAATCTAAATACTTTGGAATTTACTTTGCATCCTGTTAACGAATCACAAGTTTTTAGGCTACTTAACAATTAATTTGTCTATTTCTAAATCTACTGGATGTGATAAAATACCGGCTAAATTACACCATCTTTGACCAATCTGTTCAACTCTTCTATTGGGATGGGAATTTTCCCGTCTGAATGGAAAATTGCTAGAGTTATACCGCTTCATAAGAAGGGTTCACGCTCCGTTTTAGACAATTATAGACAATATCAATTTTGCGATCTTGTATGCATGAGCAGTTATACGAATGTTTTACCACCAATAATTTATTGTCTGAACAGCAGTTTGGGTTCAGGAGCTTTCATTCCACGTCCACTACATTGCTAGATTGTACTGTCTGATGAGTGGTACTGTATGTTAATATGGATCGTGGTTTATATAATCTTGCCGTTTTTCTCGATTTAAAAAAAAGCATTTGACACGGTAAACCACGACATTTTACTGGCTAAACTAGATTTATATGGTATTAAGAATACGCCTCTTATGCTTTTCAAATCTTACTTATCAGATCGATCTCGATCAGCAATGTCAAGTAAATGGGAACTTTCCACATTAAAATATCTAAAATATAGAGTTCCTCAGGGTTCAATTTTGGGTCCTCTTCTGTTTTTAATTTATATCAATGATTTACCGAACTGTTTACAACACACTACAGCACGTATGTTCGCCGACGATACTAACATTACAGTGTCCGGTAAATCAATTAAGGAAGCTGAGGTGGCCGTTAATGCTGATCTCAATAATATCAGAGAATGGCTTCTATCAAACAGGCTTTCTCTTAACCTTGTCAAAACGGAATATCTTTTGATTGGATCACGCCACAATATTATAATTAACACGTTGGAAGAGCAACCGCGTGTTTTTATTGGGGATGAACCAATTAAAGGAGTTCAAGTTACAAAAACTCTTGGAGTCAAAATTGATCATTTTTTTAACTTGGGACAGTCATATTGACCAAATTTTAAAAAAAAATCTTCTGGAATAAGTGCCATGAAAAAGATTTAGGATTTCACCAATTCTGATACTTTGAAGTCAGTCTATATTATGGTCTCGTCCAACCCCATTTCGACTACTGTTGTGAAGTTTGGAATTCCATTAATAGAGGCCAGTCCGAACGACTACAAAAACTTCACAACAGATGTGCTAGAATTAAAGATGAGCCTGGGCAATCTCCACTGGCCCTTGATCAATTAGGGTGGATTAAAGCTTGGAAGAAAGGCGAAAACATATTATGGCCCGGCTCAATATTGTTTAAGGTTGTCAATAATTTGGCACCATCGAGGTTCTCATCAATGTTCCAGAATTCTAACCATATCCACAGTTATAATTTACGAGGTTCAAATTCGTAATTTTGTATTCGTAGTTCTTAATATTCTTAGTGATTTTATGTATTTTTGTTACATAATTTATCTACGCCCCACTTGGAAAGCAGCTCCAGTTGAAGTGGCCAGCGTAGTCAAATAAAGTCTTATCTTATCTTATCAATCCGGGGTCGAAATTTACTCTATTCTGTATATACCAGTAGTAAAATGTCTGACAGAATAGTGTACTTCATGATCTCAGTATTCCATTTAATATATTACTGGTATGCAGGGCCGTAGCTATAGGGGGTGGGGGGTGCGGGGGTGACACCCCCTGAAAATGCAAAATAACGGTTTTATCAGCAAATCGTTTTCGTAATCAGCAAAAATATTTGAGTGGCTCGGATGAGAAAGTAATTTTATAGCAAAAATTTTGATAAATTTATGAAGATATTTACCAAAAGATTTAAGAAATTACAGTACATGAATTGGAAAGTTAGTATAGTGAACAATGGTATGTCAAGAAAACTTTTTTACTCCCCCCCCCCAATCACCAACAATTTTGGGGAAAAAAGATTAATTAGCAGCTGAAATGTTTTTGGCAAATGCGATACTATACACCCCCTGCTTTAGCCTCTTCGCTATGATCCTGCTGGTATAGGTTATTAAGGATAATTTTACTATATGTCTAACAACTGTTGATTTTGCAGTTGAATTTTTGCACTTGCATTTAATTCATAGGCTCTCGAAGACATAAAAAATTGTGGAACTTAATATCAGACAAAATAGTAAATTTCCAAAATCTGCTATTCCAGTTGTATATATATACGTAGACTTGCTCGGCCATTAGTCTCTCTTTCATTGTCATACAGTATCGATCCACTATAGTGTACATTACATGACGTAGCACAGAGAGGCGGAGCGAGAAAGAGAGACTTGTCAACTTCGGAAAATCTCGGTTCATATATTATGTCGTCGTGGAAGCTAGCAAATGTAAATTTCTATACCTCTGTCAATTGGTAAAAATATAATGTTCAACTTACTGCAGGAATTAAAAACAGGTGAGGAAAAAAGGTTTTATCCACATCACATGGAACACTGGAAATAGACAAATTAATAATTAATATAATTAATTTTAGAAATTAATAATTTATCACCATGCATGCATGCATATATACAGAACTATAATATCCTAATTGTGGATCGACCTGTGTGTGGACTAAACATTTATCACCAAAGTAAAAACATATTTTTGCATCCTTAATTAGTATATATAATCTACATCAGACAGATGTTTTTAATATTAACCATTAAGTTGCATTGCACCCTAATGCACCTCACTTTGTTATGTTTTACTGTCTTTACAGGCAATGTTACTCATCAAGGGAAGAGAACTGGTGCTCAATGGATATAGGAATTCAACACAACATCGCGCAGATTAAGGGTCAGAAATTTGCAGTATCCCTATATATCCACAGGCTAAAATTTGGTTTTAAATACCAAATTGTGAATGACGGAAGTAGGAAGCTTGTTAAACTTAGTGGGTCCGACTCCCACAAGGCGCTACCATGATTGGTGCTGAGCAGGGAAATTTTGAAAATTTTGAGTCTCTAAATCATTGGAAATGGCATTTTCAGGGTCTTCTTTACCTCTATGGCATTATGATTTGTGAGTCTATGCTATTTGTGATTATATAAATCAGAACTCTTAAGACATGGTATTCAAGTTCAAAAACTTTTTTGACCCCCCCTTTCTCTATATAGGTTAAAACTTTTTTGACCCCCTCTATTCATAAGGGTAAAATGTCATTTGCCCCCCCCCCTCTCCCATTTACCAACCCCCCTCCCCATAAATAATGGCTACTCCCTTATTTGGATGGAACAGCTAGGGTATAATACTTATGGTAACCAGTATCCAGTCAGAAGTGGGATCGATTGGATTCTCAGGGGGGATACAAAACTTTCAATACTGGTATCCCCAATTGAATACTGAGAACAAATTCAAATTTCAGACCTGTCAGATAAAGGCTATTTTAACAAAAATACAATGTAAACTGTCTGCTTACAAGTGATATAATATTTGGGATTTTGTTCTAGTGTCTGCACATGCAGCTGTTGTAAATATAGTAGTACAATAGATGTTTGACCACTGGACCCAAAAATGTTGTCCACTAAATAGAGAGGTTCAATTGTTGGTTTTAGACCTCCAAGTATATCCCTCCTCGCCCCTGCAGCGCTGACCATGCAACTCACCCAGTAGGAGGCACAGTTGTGATGTTGCCACTGATATTGCTCATTCCCGACTATAAAACGAAATTTTGAAGATACATCAGAAATTAAACAAAAAAATATGGTTGCGCCAATTCTGAATAATTGTAGTCTAAATGCAGGTGCACACATGCATGCACACTACAATTTTAGTAAACAACAAAATTTGCTAATTGCAACATGCATTATTAAATGATGGCAGGAAGTTCAAAAGGATCGAGTTTCGTTTTCTTAACACTATCATGAAGTTTTATATAACTCCATGTGCAAAATAAGTGAGCATTCCACAAATGTTTCATATTTAGTTAATTAAATACAAGTGCAGATACCCCATCGCATAAAATATTTATGTGTAGAAACAAAAAAAATTAAAATGAGATCAAGGCTTTTACCCTTTTTGAAGATCGCACGAATGTATTTATCGCTGGTCGATATCACCAAAATCATATAAACACAGGCTCAATATCCAAATGCATTCGCATAAAACATTTACAGGAAATTTGCTATTATAAAAGGGTACAGTATTAAATATGACACAATTTACAAAGGTACCTCCCGAACTTCGGCCTGCAAATACTCGCGCAAACTACGCGTATTCTTTAATACTTTTAGATATAAAGAACGATAATATAAATGGTTTACTTACTGTATTTTATAAACGTCCAAGAAATAGGATAAAATATATTAATTTCTCCGCCTAGATCTTTAAATATGCACACACTTCCGCCGGTCTTTAGATAAAGTCGGAAGGAAGTAGTCTTTGCATAGATAAAACGCGGACACGGACGGCGGACGGACGATCTTTAGTCTCCGAAAATAAACATTTTAATCGTTCTAGCTTTCGACTAAGATTCAGTCATCATCAGGAATGATGCTACTGCTAGGTTACATTATATCGATATATAATATATATAGTGAAGATTAAGTAATTTGATATGTACAGAAACGATTAGTTATATTATAAGTTCTTTTGATGCCTTAGTTCCGTGATTAAGTTCAGGTTTAAGGCGTCTATAAATGGCAAGTGCTTCTTTAAATAGCAATAAGGACCAATGATCAGATCTGTCTATAATCTTAGAGCTTAATCACGGAACTATAAGGCATCAAAAGAACTTATAATATTTAACTAATCGTTTCCGTACATATCAAATTACTTAATCTTCACTATATATCCTGATGATGACTGAATCTTAGTCGAAAGCTAGAACGATTAAAATGTTTATTTTCGGAGTTTATACCGTTGTTTTATATTTTATTGATGGCAGAGATTTTCAACTTTTTGGGTAGTGTTTTGAGTTTGAACATTGTCTTCACTCCTCGGTTTGTTGCTAAAAAAATAACTCCCCTGCCCGCGGCCTAAATATCGTAAAAAGCTGCCCGCTCGCGTAGCCAATCAAATTGCAGGAAATCAGAAAATAAAAACTAGCTGCACACAAATAAAAAAATAAAATAAAACATATAATAGTTTTGTTTGTGGAAACACCACGTAAATTTATTAATCCTTATTCCCTATATGTACTGCCTGCAAAAATATGTCTGCAAAAAGTGCGCGAAGATGCTCCACGTTATATTATAGCAACAATAGCTGGATTTCAGTCACGTTGAACGCTTAGCGCTTGGTAGTCAACTCCAAAAAAACCAGAGAGTTCACGCATTTCCCTATAACATGTACAAGGCTTCGTGAAACCCACCTATTGCTGACCAAAAACCGCTTTTCCCATATTGAAAATTTTGCTTCGTATTCGGTGATAGTCATTGTAAGTGGCATCCAAAATATAAATAGTTTATGTATTATCATTTACAGGTACTGTTAAACACACAAAAATATTAAAATTTTTTGCATGCTGATCGTGTTCTGGCCTCCATCTTTCTTGACCTCGACACTTGATATTGTGCAAAATAGGCAGCAATCGCTACCTTTAAGGTACACAGCCAGAAACGCGCAAGTTGCAGCAGGTCTGCTGCAGATTTGCTGCAACTTGCGATCATCAAGCCGATATGAGATGCGTTCGCATCGTTTGCTCCAGCTTGATAATATCAAGTCTACTGCAAGTTGTCAACAGACTTGCTGCATGCAAGTTGTCGTCCACAGACTACACACGTAAAAATCTCACAACTTGTCAACAAGATGTGTTTCGCAACAGACTTGTAGCAAACTTGTCAACAAGTTGTAACAATGCTGTTATTTTATCAAGTTGCTACAAGGTTGTCACTCACAACTTGTTGACAAATTGTTGAATTGCAGGACGATAACAAGTGGTTGGAACAACCTGTAACAAGTCTGTGGAACTCAACAACCTTGTAGCAAGTTGGAAACAAGCCGTTGACAACTTGTCACCAAGCTGGGAACAAGCAGTGCGAACACATCCTATTGACAAGTTGTTGGAACAGCATTGCTATATATACAAGTCTGCTGCAGGTTTGTTACAACTTGTGCATTTTTACGTGTGCAACAAGTTGCGAACAGCAGACTTGCTGCAAGTTGTGCAGACTTGATGCAAGTTGTCATCCACAAACTTGATGCAAGTTGATGAAACAACTTGCATCAAGTCTGCAAATAATACTTGCAGCAAGCCTGATTAACTTGCATCAGCAATTCAGCATTGATGCGTTCATCAGACTTGCTGCAAGTTGTTCTATCAGTATTGCTGCAAGTTGACATTTGCAGACTTCATGCAAGTTGTTTCATCAACTTGCATCAAGTCTGCAAATGTCAACTTGCAGCAAGCCTGATTTCAACAGGCTTGCTGCAAGTTGATGACGTCGACAAGCCTGCTGCAATTTGTTAACTTGCAGCAGGCCGGTAAAATCCGCAACTTGCAGCAAGTCTGTGGCGTTTCTGGCTGTGTAACCTAGTTTAATTAAAACCAGAATAGTGCGCGAAAATATGTCTATTTTAAAGCCTGAACGGTCTGTACCAATGTAGGCAGTGACAATAATAAGAAAGCTTCAGATTGATAGGGAATATTGTCATATTGATGCAATTACTTGAAAAACTACACACGTAAAAATCTCACAACTTGTCAACAAGATGTGTTCGCAACGGGCTTGTAGCAAACTTGTCAACAGGTTGTGACAATGCTGTTATTTTATCAAGTTGCTACAAGCTTGTCACTCACAACTTGTTGACAAGTTGTTGAATTGCAGGGCGATAACAAGTTGTTGGAACAACTTGTAACAAGTCTGTTGAGTTCAACAACCTTGTAGCGAGTTACCAACAAGCCGTTGACAACTTGTCAACAAGCTGGGAACAAGCAGTGCGAACACATCCTGTTGACAAGTTGTTGGAACAGCATTGCTACAACTCTGCTGCAGGTTTGTTACAACTTGTGCGTTTTTACGTGTGTACAAGTAGCCAAACTTCTAACCTCCCGACGAAGGGCGTTGCCGCCTTGGCTCGAAACGTCGAAGTTCTCCTTGTATTTTACAGGTACACACGTAAAAACGCACAAGTTGTAACAAACCTGCAGCAGACTTGTAGCAATGCTGTTCCAACAACTTGTCATCAAGATGTGTTCGCATTGCTTGTTCCCAGCTTGTTGACAAGTTGTCAACGGCTTGTTGGCAACTTGCTACAAGTTTGTTGAGCTCAACAGACTTGTTACAAGTTGTTCCAACAACTTGTTATCGTCCTGCAATTCAACAATTTGTCAACAAGTTGTGAGTGACAATCTTGTAGCAACTTAGATAAAATAACCGCATTGTTACAACTTGTTGACAAGCTTGCTACAAGCCCGTTGCGAACACATCTTGTTGACAAGTTGTGAGATTTTTACGTGTGTAGTTGTATCAATCTGTAACTTTCCTATTGCAAAGCATTTACTTATCTTATATTAACCGAACAGTTTCAGAGTCATGTCGACCGACTTTAATTTTGACGTCGCCATGTTTGGTGTAATGAACTTGAATACGTTCCGGCGTCCGAAGACCAGGTTTACGATCCGACGCTAGTTGTGGGTTGCGAGCCAAGGTAAGGGCAAGGAACCATCTGGCACGGGCTTGAGCTGAACGTGACCATTTTGACCCTGTGTTCTTTTCTATGATACAAGAACTAAATGAATATGCTGTGAAGGTGCTACGCCACTTGATTTTAAAAGAGAGGCAGGAAGATACCTGCACATTATGTACAAGTTTTCTGATTGGTTTTCTGAACCAAAAGTGATCAGTGTTTTTGGCTCGTTCTTTACAAAGATGATTTCTATAATTTATTGTCTTTTATCATCGTAAACAAGCAAGTCCCAAAAGACGGGCTTATTGGAGAAATAGGTTTTTGGTGGGCCCTCATTTCAGACTTGATTGAAGGAATCACAGTAAATAACATCTTATACGCCAGATCGATTTATGGTTTGGGGTTGAATGCACTGATCTGAAAATTAGGAGTTGATATTGCATCCGCTATTCATAAATGAAGCCAATGGTGGCTATATTAGTGTGACAAGCACAAATCTACTGTGGTGTTGCTGATCGACATAGTGGAAGAGATTCTCACAGTTTCTGATTATCGGTGAGAAAGGATAAACATTGTCTGAATAGAAATTTATCAACAGTGGCCTTTCTTCCCCTTAAGTTTGCAGCATGAGCTCCACCTTTGAATTTACTATATGAGTAAATTGTTAAATGCGAAATTATCAATATAATAAATTCACGACACATGTTGGGCCCTAATCTAACCCCAACCCTGACTCCCAACCCTAATATGGTCTTAGTCTAACCTTAAAATTCTAAAATCTGAACCATAATTGTGAAGAAAACGGTAAAAGCCGACGTAAAGTGGTACTAGATTAATTGTGTTTTCGCGAGTTTAATGACGTTAAATAAATCCGATAGATCCGATTCAATCCCGCGAAAATAGATCCGATTCGATCCGACGGAAAGACTGCCCAAAATCCGATTCGGACACGTAAAATTTGGACCGAATCCGATCGTTCGGATCGGATTTACACACCTCTATTCTAAAACTCAGAAGAAATATGGGAAGCTATATCTTTCAAGTTGCATAGGAAAAGACATTTGCTTGATAATGTAGCTAAATTTTAACGTCGCGATATTTTTGGTCAGTGAACGTCTCATAAACATTCTGGTTGATTCAATTCATAACGATACTTCATCCAGACCTAGTCTCAACTACTACTTTTCTCATGGCTTCAATAAAGGACGTGATAGCACTTACGTGTTTCATCGCTCAATATTTGACAGAAAACTCGAAGAATTGGGTTTCTATAAGCTGTTTGTACGTGAAGATAACAGATGTACGCATTGAAACCTGGCAAAAAAATTTAAAAAAAAACGTTATAGCCTGGATCCATCTTGTATTTTGAGTACTGTATGCAAATCAGTCCTAGTGGAAAACCGCCTTAGTGCGATAAGTCGTCAGGGAAACGAAAAGGTTTGACCCTTGCCAACGGGAAATTTATAAATTTCCCTTGCCAACGGGAATTTATAAATCGACCGGGAATTTAGAGATTAAATTCCCGCTCTGAACAATAGAATCCTGTCCAATCATGGTATTACAATACAGGGTGTATAAAAAAACGCAACCTCGGAATTTCCCAAGAAATCGACATTGTTTTAAGGACAAAAGATTTTAAGTGCCTGGGAATTTAAAATAGCACAACTGTCAAAATTACTGCACACGCGAGTGCATAAAGCAAATATTTAATGACTGAATAAGTTTTTATTTTACAAGAACAGTACAACAGTGATATGGCTATTAGCAATTCGATTTCAATTCCCAAGAGGCCTAAAATCTTTTATGGTTAAGTATTGCAAAGTGGATTTCTTAGGAAATTCCGAGGTTGCGTTTTTTTCATACATCCTGTAGAAAATGTGAAATTTTGTATTCAGTTACAACAAATATGACTTGCATCATCAGAAAGCTTATAAAAAACTGTATATAAGACGTTTAGACAGTTTTTTGATTTCTGAAATATTTTTTTGAATTATAAACTGTTAAAAACGCATTTTCAAACATCGAATAATTAATTAGGGACTTTTAGCGAGATAATGTGCCTAATTTACAGCAATAACCATTAGAAGAATAAACAGTTTTAAAGTCTTTTATGTAGTTTTTTACAAGCTTTCTGGTGATGCAAGTTATATTTGTCGTGATTGAATTCAAAATTTCACATTTTTTGTTGTAGTAGAATTTAATAGCATATAATGCTAATAACATCGTAACTCTCTAAAAAAACAGTTTCACGATGGCCCCACTTTTGCATGTTGTTCTACTCATAAAAAGATGCTACTGTGCACAATTTGGTGCTTTTAACCCTCTTCGGAAACATCCATGCACATATCCGCCACGCTACAGATAATTCACTTGTCTAGTTACTATTGTTCTAGTTTACAGATGCATAGAATAGAATAGCTAGAACAAAGGTAACTAAGCTTTAAAATTTATTACACGAGTGAATAACTCTTATATATAATTCTAATGCATAGTTACCTTTATCCTATTTTATGCTTTTAGTAAGGGACCGCTCATTATGGCTATTGAGGAGAAACTGGGGGGGGGGCTTTAATTTTTTTTTAAACCTGAAAGGGGGGCTTTGAAAAAATACAGAGAGACAAAAGAAAGGGGGCATTGAAAATATTTACTAGTTTGAAAATTAAAACATTAGTAGTTTTAAAAATGTATCACAAAACAACTTAACAACAAATAACAATGTTTATAGACCTTTAATATTAATATTCATAAATGGAAGCCAAATAAATACTCTCTTATGTTCATGTAAATTGGTCCCCATGATTTATTTTTGTTTCTCTAAATAAAGAGCTAGAGTGTGTGTGTGTGTGGGGGGGGGTGTCCAAAATTTATGTGCTTGTTTTGCCTTTTGGAGGGGGCTTTGAAAATTGTCTTAAGAGGGGGGCAACGAAAAAATATTATAACTGTAGAGTTTCTCCTCAGCCCCCCTGTACTATAAATAATGAGTCCCTAAGTAGGCATGCGAGTTTATCTAAAGTAGTGAATTGGGTAACAACGATGTAAAACAACGTTAGCCAAATTTGGGTTGCTATTATTGTTATTGGGTTACCTCGATCAATCTGTTGAAAGCCGTCGGGCATGACACTATGATCAATTCTTGGCAACATCAGAGCACCCACGACCATTGCCCTCAAGATCCGAGATATGGCGGATAAGAAACCCATGGGAAGTCCAACGAAAAACCAGAAATACGAGAACACCATGTATACATTTCTGGAGGGAGAATCAAGAGCGTTCGCAGTGTTTCACTTTTGCAACTGAGGTTAAATTCCTGCACTATGCTGATTATAATTTCAGGATTTTGGTCATCTCACTTGATAGATTAACTAATTGCAAAAGGGTTTTTAGATGGTCTTTCGAGTGTGAATTTTATACATTTATTTATTTTATTAGACCTAACCCGGAACAGTTGAGAAAAATGCAACTACACCACAGAATAAAGATCAGTAACAGAAGACACAGAAGGGCCACTCAGCGGTGCAATGTGTCCTCGTTTTTTTTAAAGCAAAATATGCAGTTTACCGGCCAGAAGGCGGAGCAGCCAGCCAGTACAGCGTGTTTATTGGCCAGAAAATTCATTGACTGGCTAGGAAAATGGCGGCCAACATGCGTAATGCAACATGCACGAGGACAGAAACTTCAAAGCTTCCGACGTAAGTGGCCCTTCTGTATGGATCTTTATTCTGTGACTATACAAAACCCACTACAAATTCGCTCACACGTGAGAAGATGAAAAGGGTGTTTTCAGTTTGGCTTTACCAATATCTTCTAGTCCACGCGCAAATTCTCACAGTTTGTCAACAAGATGTGTTCGAACAAGTTGTTTTCATCTTGTGACAAGGTTGACGAAGCAACAAGTTGTACGAATAAGTCTGATATCGTCTGCACGCGTAACAAGTTTAGAATTCTTTCTGAAATAGGATAGGACCAATTATAGTATATGATCCTTACTGGATCTCTAAGCAGAAAAATTTCGCACTGATAAAGTTATCCCGCATAATTCAGGATTCCTCCTATAGCGCGCGCACTGGATCAATTTAGTACAATTAATACAATATACTGTTTGAGAGAATTAATAGAGATATCCCGTATAAAAAAGGTTAATTAGAATATGAATACATCACAACACGTTCAAAAGCTGATAATGTGCAAGCACAAAGTAAAGATATTGGAATAGAAATTTCTACTCAATTTTAATTATTGAAGTATACACAAACCTGTTGTTTACAGATATGACATCTTTGGAGTAAGTGTAATCTCGGAATACCGTGAACGAAGCTAATGGCAATGACAAACCAGCCAAAATAGCCACACCCACAACAACACTAAAATATTGAACAGATGGGATGGCTTTCAGGAGGAGAATGACTTCCTAACATAATAGACTATGCTGTTTATTTGCCCCAATGGCCTCATTTTCATATAGGACTACATTTTCATGTAATTCTCATTATTTTGAGATTCTAATAATTCTCATTACTTGAGATTCTACTAATTCTCATTTTTTGAGATTCTATAATTATAATTCTGATTATTTGAGATTCCAATAATTCTCATCATCTAATAATAATTTGAGACTTTTGAAAAGACATTTAATCAAAATTTGTAGTATAATAAAGGAATACCGAATGGTTTTCCGTGCAGGATTGGGTGATCCATGCACGAGGGATCTCGCGAGACTTTCGGAAAGCGTAAAAATACTCGAGCCGCAGGCGAGTGTATTTTTACGCTTTCCGAAAGTCGAGCGACATCGCAAGTGCATGGATCACGCTATCCTGCTTGGAAAACCATTTGGTAACTGTTTTATAAAATAACTACAGTGAAACAATGACATTTTGAGATTGACCAATCAAATTGCGTGTTTTTCACTGTAGTTATTATATAATGCTTATTATCATACATACAGATTCACCTACCCTCCTCCTTTAATGAATTCCAAGACAAGATCTTGAACGATTTTGTATGAAATCAAGGCGTAAAGAGCAAAACAAATAACAAAGAACAGCACGAAGAGCAAAAGGTACCCTAGGTTGAAATCAAGGGTATAGAAAAAGTGTTGAGAGTCTTGTAGATGAGAATAGGCAATCCCAGCTATAGACTAAATTTTGATCTCGGCAAGAAGAACAAAATCTATCACCTCAGCTAGAAAGAGCATGTTAAAATAAGTAAAATGGCAAAGTTTGGCCGCGAAATGTTATAAAATGGGGAAAATATAGCCCTGCGAAATTTGCAAATTTTGTATTATTTTGTATTAGGCTATGCGCGGGAAAATGCACCACATTTGGGCCGAAAGTGGACTATTTTCCCGCGCGTAATACAAATGGAACTAACCCTAATGGAACTAACGCCTGATTCTACTGATACTATAAACACAAACACAACACAACTTATATTTGCTAACTGTAAGATAATTGATAGATCTGCAATTCGCAGGAGAAAACCAGAACTTAACCCCCTTAACCACGGTATATATATATAGTACAATCTGCAGACATGCATGTTTCGGCGTCCTACGCCTCATCGGTGCAGCTTGGTACACATCTAGACACGCGATGACTTTCGTATTGATATACATGGCACTTGCTCTCCCAAGCGCATGTGGTACAACACGAGCCATCAACGCATCCAGACATGCGCAGAGTGACATGGGACCAGAGTGCTCAAACAACCACGAGGGAAGTGAGCTTTGCATTATATATATAAAGACCCAGCCGCGGCAGACAACATCTTTCTGCTTGCGCTGGGTATGGAAATTATATAATACACACTCTAGAACATTTTCATATTAATATATATATATATATATATATATACAGCACGAAGAGCAAAAGGTTATATATATATATAACCGTTATATATATATATATATATATATATATATATATATATATATATATATATATATATATATATATATATATATATATATATATATATATATATATAGCGATAATGCAAAGCTCGCTTCCCTTGTGGTCGTTTGAGCACTCTGGCCCGCATTACGCTCTGCGCATGTCTGGATGCGTTGAGTCACCGTGTTGTACCACATGCCTTGGTGAGAGCAAGTTCATGGGATATAAATACGAGTGTCTCACGTATCTAGACGTGTACCAAGCTGCACTGACGAGGCGTAGAACGCCGAAACATGCATGTCTGCAGATATTATATATACATTTATATATTTGTAGATTCATAGTAGTTAACGTATTAATATCTACAACGTTCTCCTTCTAGCGTTAGATAGCCAACGTCTTGTCAGCAACTTCGAAATGGCTGAATAAGGCAAGACTTACCCCACATAAAATAGCCAATCTGATAACTAGGATATCTTAGACCTTTTCCCTAATAAAAAGGAATGAACTTTGTATAATATACCTAGCCTCCTCCGCAGGCAACTCTGTTATTTCTGTCACATCAGTATCACAATTCACAAAGCTCAGTGATCAGTACGGTTCCCCTGTGTAGTGTATGGGCGGGCGGGTTACGCGGGCGGGTTATTTTCGTAACCCGCCCGCCCGCCAATACACTACACAGGGAACCCGTACTGGGACATACAGAGTTGCCTGCGGAGGAGGCTATAATATACCTAATTATTATTTATAGAGATGCTCTTTCAAGTGGGTAGTAAATTCTTCTACTTTAAATTAACTTTCTATATCGTTCTCACGTTGAAAACAGTAATGGCAATATATATCGTTCAACTTACAATCATAAACTGTGATGCACGGATTTTTTTTGGAATAAATGACTTATCTCCTTTGAACATCCTTAGCATGTTATTCCTGCAGAGGAAACCAGAAAATATTGAATGATGCACGTTACGATTGGCAAAGGTCAAAGAGTTTGGGGTTAGTGGCATGATTCTAATTTTTTTGGTTATTATAGAAATGTTCCATTCTCTCTTCTGAAGATAATACCACAGAATACAGACCATACAGAAAGCCAACTCAGCCAAAAAACGTGACCGCACTCGCCATGTTACTATCTCTTACAAAAATATATAGATAAAACTACAGGGTGTATAAAAAAATTAATCGAACTTCAGCGCGCTACTGCATCTGAATTCCTCTGCGTATGAACGGGATTTTTTCACATTCGGAAAGACCATGCTTTTAGCTGTTGAATGATATCTTCTTCATGCCAAATGGATAAAAAATGAGCAAATACGAATCCGATAAAAAATGAATTTCACTTCATTAAACTGCACACTTATTCATAATTATTATTATAAAGTAGGAATAAATCTTAGACACGTTCGTGATTAATTGCTTTTTCTTTTGTTATGCATTGTTTTAATTAGGCACAGAGGTGAAAATATGCGATTTTGACTAACATTCTTAATCGGCCTCGTACATGCTTATTTGTTTCTCCACTTGGCATGAAAAGCATGTCATTCAATAGCTAAAAGCCTGATCTTTCCGAATATGAAAACCAATTGTTCATACGCCGAGCAATTCACGTATAATAGCGCGCTGAAGTTCGATTACCTTTTTTTTATACACCCTGTATAGTTTATCCCATCAAAACTATAGTTGTTCAAAGAAAACTATATAGTTAATTAAAAAAACTACAGTTTATGCAAAATACTATGATTGTCTCCCTTGTTGAAATATAGTTAAAGTATTTTTTCTTAATTATAGTTATTTTTAAAGAAATTATAATAGAAAATAAACTTTTGATAAAACTATATAGTTTTCAAAAATCAACTACTATAGTTTCTGAAAAATACTATAGCTGTTTTCCTAAATAAACTATGGTTTAAATTAAGATAACTTTCGTAGCACTTTATAGTTCATATTTTAAAGAAACACAAAACAAAATTGTAAACATTTTTAAAGAATAAAAATAGTTACAATTTTCGGAGTATCTATTGTTTTGTGTTATATTAAAATACTCTATCAGTATGGCAACCATACTTTTTATAGACCAGTGCATTTATGAGAGTCATTCACCCTCTTAATGTCTGCAATTTTGAATATGTTCAGGAAGGTGAATGCATTGACCTGTAAATAAACTGGAAGGCTATTACTGCTATGATGAAGGCCTATGATTTGATGAAGCCAAAAAAAATCTGAGCATGAGCAGAAATACTTGATCCCAAACGTTGGGCTAAACCTCCGACTATAAGCCCTGGGCTTATATTCTTTCGTAAGCGTAATAGCGTAATTAAGTAATAATTAAAGCGTAATTAAGTAATTTTTGATTGGCTCATACAAAAGGGGGCTTATATACGGGGGGGGTGCTTATTTATGGACGATCTTTTGTGTTAGTGTAATAGTGATAAACAAGTATAGTAATAGTGATAAACAAGTATTAAGCACAGTAATAATAGTGATACGGTGTGGAAATTTCAAGACTTCAGCGAAAAGAGAAATATTTAGTAAAAAAAATACAAAAACAACTGCTTGAAATTTCTACACCAAATAGCGTTTTTCAATAGCTTCAGTTTCATATACAGTGTTGAGTATTTCTGCTCATAACTCAGAAAAACTAAAATGCACTGGCTTCAATCCCCCGAGGATGTCTTTAATACATTTGATTTTCCGGTTGTCTTTGCGGATGCGTGGATTGTCGAAGTCAAGGACATTGAAAACGAAGGCACGTAAGCTGTTTTTTGCTCGTTCGACTGTAGTAAAACCATTCTTTAGCCAACCGTTCTTGTTAATTTGTTCCCATGCTCAGATTGCATCTGCTGAAAGTATTTGGGAACAAATTAACAAGAACGGTTGGCTAAAGAATGGTTTTACTACAGTCGAACGAGCAAAAAACAGCTTACGTGCCTTCGTTTTCAATGTCCTTGACTTCGACAATCCACGCATCTTCAATCCCCCCCCTGAGTTAGCCTTCCAGTTTACCTATAGCACCCATTTTGAATATTTTCAGGAGGGTGAATGCCTCTCATAAGCGCACTGGCTAGGAACAGGGCGACAACATTGCAACGGGTACTGCAGAGTAATCATACGCAAAACCAAGAAGTCGGCCTTCTGTAACGTCTGTATTTTGTAATAACACTTCTTGAAAAATTTGTCGAGAAAAAGACGCCGTGCAGTCAAAAAGCACATCAAGGAAAATATACGAATTTTTAGATATACTTATGATTCTCCATGAAACGAACTAGAGAGACCACACAACAAATCGTAGCAAGAATTATAGCAGCCATCAAGGAACCTATATAAAGAAAAAAAACATAAAAATGATAAATAACTTTATTAAATATTCGTCCTTCACCTTCAGTTTCAAACATATTTTCCACATAAATGAGCGACGTTGGTGCGATTAAGGTAATTCCGCAGTTTTGCATTGCGCACTTTTACTGCGCACATCTTATAACTTATAATTTCATCCATTATACGTACCGTTTAAAAAAATTATCATTTTATGACAATTTTATGTTACTTCAAAACATCTTTGGTTACATTCTTGCAAAGAATTACGTTAAAAGCAATGTTTTCAAAAAAGGCATACAAAAGTGTAGCTAGGGTTCCTGTGTCTGTAGTATATTTATTTACTTGTATTTCACGTTCTGATGCCACAATTCCCTAAAACGATCGGTGACTCCCGTTTTTTAACTGATAATTTATTTCTTTAATGCATTTTACATTTCATATCCGAAATTAAAAGAAAAATCATTTCTGGATCTTGAAAAAAAATGCTTTATCAATGCATGTTCTCAAAGAAAGATATGTTAAGGAATGTGCAAAAGACATTTGTGGATCAGAATTGTACACGTTAGCAGTTTCATTTTGCTCAAAACACAATATTTTTTCAAAAATAATTACAAGTTAGGTTTACTAAAGCAAAATCCGTGCTAAAAACGTCAATAAATATCGGGCTGTTGTGAGTTTGCTGTTACTCGTAATGAGAGTCAAGATGGCGCCATATTGGGGTAAAGGTGGTATATTGTGATTGTCATATCTTCCTAACGAGTTCGGTGACCCCGACTTTTTTGTGTGATTTTACTTTAAGTATATCATAAACTCCATGCCTGGGAAGTTTTAGCACATTCTCATTTCGGGAACAATTACTGCGGAATTACCTTAAACACACAAGATTATTGTGACAGAAATCAAGTTGCCTAAATTTTAAAAGCTCATGCGCTCACACTCAGACTCACTGAGTGTGCCAAAGCAATCACGTTCCCGCTGATCAATGATAAATTCCTTCCTCAATCACTGATGGTCTATTTTGGTACAGAATGTATTGTACACATTTTTCTTCATATTTTACAATGCATGGTAATTTTAGTTTTATTTTATAGCTGACAGACAGCCATAAAATTTTTTCCCAACCCATGAGCTAATAAAAAACTTGATTACCCAACCCATATCTCTTCGGTACCAACCATTTTCCTTGATTTACATAAACTTTAACTTTGATTTTCTCAACTTACACAACGTATTTTTTGAAATTAAATTACTTCGCCAATGAACTTACTAGATCGATAGTTTTTGAAGAATTTTAAAACATTCGCAGTGCGTGTTTTATCAGACCTAAAGATACTCGGCTTCGTCTCGTATCTTTATATCTGATAAACACCTGACTGCTGCTCCCAGGCCTCGATAACATTTTTTCGTGCCTGCGAGCGAAATTCAAAATGTGCCTGCAAAAACACATCTTATTTAGATTTTGTGACCTAAATATTGTTAAAATGTCGGTATTTTAAAATGTTCCTGCAAAAATGTAAAAGGTGCCTGCGAGCGGCGCTCGCGCGCACTTTATCGAGGCCTGGCTGCTCCTGTTTCAAATAGTACTTAATGTTATTTACTTGAAGAGTTTATTTCGAACAAAACTAACCAAACAGCCCAAGAAAAAATTGCATCTTGATTTGATCGATTTCGGACAATCCTTGCAGGTCAGTTGTTTTCCTAACTAGGTCCAAAACGTAGCTGACGATAAACACTATTTTAATGATCTAAATGAAACAACATTTGCACTAAATATTTCGTGATGATATACGGATACTTTATATTGATATTTTAAATTTAATACATGGACTATGTATTCAGTCCGGACTGATAGAAAAAATATTATATTTTTTGGACCACAAGTAAGAGTCCAAATTATCTAATTTTTTAAATTAATTTTTATGCGCCAAATTAATTACTCGATTGCAAGGCATTTTTTAATACCATGGACTGGTGGGGCATTTGCTCCACTGGGCCCCTTCCTCTGCCCCACTACTGCAGAAAAAATGGTCAGTTACCCCAAAGCCAGGGCCCTTGGACCTGTATTGAGTAAACGAGTTTAAAATTTAAGTTCTTTAAAATTTGTTGGTGAACATACTTAAACTTTATATGTTGTGTTTTACACTAAATTTCACCATTAAAACTTTGTTTTGAGAAGCTTAGTTTTTTTTTAAATGTGTTCTCAGAATGCAGGAAATGCTATTTGAGAGACCCAAATTTTAAAAATTTCCTTGGGGGCATGCCCCCAGACCCCCTAGCTAACTCGTGCCTGCGGTACTCGGCTCAATTTTCTATAATTAGTAATTGTTCTAATTTAAAACAGGTTGACATATTACTTCAGCAGCCGAATTGAGAATTCCATGTATAGTAAGCCCCTAAAACATTCCCATTTCAAATACCTAAGTAAATGACTCACCCCGTAAATTAGAATAGAGCAGATCATGACCACAGAGACAGTTTGAGTTGAAAACTTAAAATCTAAAAAACAGTTGGGAAAAACTTGATTGCGATTTTTACACCTACTATAACAAGAGTCAATGACATATGTTTGCTTCAAGTACCGTAAACCTCCGGTCTATAAGCCCTGGGCTTAGGCCTATATACTTTCGTAAGCAATTTTTAATGGGCATATACAGGGGGGGGCTTATATACGGGTGGGCTTATACATGGACGATCTTTTTTGTTAGTAATAAACAAGTCAGACATAAACAAGTCAGACATAAACAGGGAAATAAACGTGTATTAAGCAGCGATTACTGGGCTTATATTAATTGGGGGACTTATATTCGGGGGGCTTATATTCGGGGGGGGGCTTATATTCGGGGAGGGCTTATATTTGGAATGAGGTGAGCGTGAGTACATGTGGTGGGCTTATACACGGGGGGGCTTATATTCGGGGGCGCTTATAGTCGGAGGTTTACGGTATATTGTTATTGCATGCCTGCATGTAATATAACAGTAACATTTGTCATCCAGACCAAAAACAAGCAATCCATATATAATATAAACTTAACATGCATGTCATTGTTTCTAGTATTTAAGAAAAGGAGTGACAAAAGGCGCGCAGACCAGACCGAGCAAGGCCTACACACGTAAAAACGCATAAGTTGTAACAAACCTGCAGCAGACTTGTAACAATGCTGTTCCAACAACTTGGCAACAGGAAGTGTTCGCACTGCTTGTTCCCAGCTTGTTGACAACTTGCTACAAAGTTGTTAAGCTCGACAGACTTGTTACAAGTTGTTCCAACAACTTGTTATCGTCCTGCAATTCAACAATTTGTCAACAAGTTGTAAGTGACAACATTGTGGCAACTTGATTAAATGACATCATTGCTACAACTTGTTGACAAACTTGCTATAAGCCTGTTGTAAACACATCTTGTTGACAAGTTGTGAGATTTTTATGTGTGTATATAGCTGCTGCTAGCCTGCTCGCAGCCCGAAATTTCGTTCAAAGGAAAACCTGAAATTGGGGTCTGCTGAGCAGGCTAAGCTGCTGCTTCTGCTCACGAAGCGAAATGGAGCAATCAGGTACGAGCAGTTTCAACTCCCAAAAGTTTTGAATCCACTATGATTTACAAGTAAAAAGCCCATGCGCTATAGAGTATATAGAGCTACAGTATTAAGTATTAATATAATGTTTTTGATGTTAGATATATCTGATCAGTGTTACTCTGAGTGTATATCCACACCGGGCAGACTGAAAATTTAGCCTAAGCATGCACTTACTTTTCTCAGGATTGTAAATTTTCCTCAAGTAAAACTCTATTCCTGAATATTGGCGGGCGGGTCTAAAAATGAAGCGAAATATTTTATTAGATATATACATGCACATGGACAGTTAAAAAAATGGACAGGAACTCCCCCCTTCCAGATTGAAGGCAAACTCCCCCAGGCTGTCAGATCTCAGAGTATTATAAATACCAAATCCAACTTGTTGCCTCGTCAACCTTGTTACAAAATGATAACTCTGTTCCAGTCTTGTCAGTTGTCAACAACTGGGAATAAATAGTGCGAACACATCTTCTTGACAAGCTGGGACTCGTATTATCCATGAACTTACTTTGATTTAATGAGGTCTTTCACGTAATCATGCAACCATGGTCGGATCAATTTCACTTGCTCGTGAGCATGTTCATCCTAAATGAAATTTTAAATATGAACGATATGAAAAGTCATTGAGATCAATGGTGAGTGTTTTGTGAGCCGAAAATTGCCTCCGTTATGTAATAAATAAAGCATGAGCGCGCCGTAGGCGAGAGGTTGTATAGGCCTACTTTGGGGGCCAAGGTCGCCTAATGTCGCCCATGTGCACCCACTCTTTGAACTTTGCCTACACACGTAAAAATCTCACATTTTGTAACAAGTCTGCCAACAAGCCGTCAACAAGATGTGTTCCCACTGCTTGTCACAAGTTGTCAACAGGTTTGGACTTGTTGTCAGATATTTATCAGACAAGGTTGTTCTGACAAGTCCGTTACATGCTTGATATATAACAAGATTGTTACAACCTTGTGTTGAAAACCTTGTAACATCCTTGTTATATCATGGCTCTAACAAACTTGTTAGCACAGTCTTGTAACAATTCTGATGTTGTTAACAGCTAGCTTGTTTCAAACTTGTTACAACAAACTGGGACAAGCAGTGCGAACACAACTTGTCGACAGCTTGTGAACAGACTTGTAACAAATTGTTTGCAGACTTCTTACAAGTTGTGCGTTTTTACGCGTGTAACAGTCTATTCACCTAATGTCACCGCCCAGCAACGCATACTACTTTTCTTTGAAAATTGCCAATGTCGCACAATGTTGCACATAATAACGGCGACCTTGGCCCCCAAAGTAGGCCTTTGTATATCTGATACAACACGGACGCGAATGCCTTATATAGCTTGTGAAACGTCTTGATTGTTTAGCCACGTTTATGATGCACGACATCCTGTTGAATTTCCATAGCGTTTTTTGAGACACCCTGTATATCTGGGACTGGCCTTCAAGTTTGGCTTCAAATTTCCGGTTGGATATAGCGTTCCAGTTACATTCAGTTCAATGGTAGTATGGTACTACACTGTGGTGACCACGTGTTTCCACCATAGCAACGAGGTTGACCTGACAAAGCATTACTTACGTCATGAGAAAACAGCTGCATTCCGAATATTCCGTATTCCCTGATTTCCTTATAAAGTACAAGTATAAACTTGCCCATAATAAACAGTTGACATAACATCATTGGTATCTTTGGTAATGTCTTTTCAACATATTCATCCCACGTCGTATTATCCTAATAATTGATAAATTAATAAAATACACGCTGTCAAAAAGAATTTCTCAAACTCTGGGTGCATAGAAAGCATTGACAATTATTCACCGATACTGAGGCGAATAATTGTTTTAGCATATACTACAACAAAACAAAATTAAAATGACCAAAAAACAACGAAGACATTTGCTCGTCTGTCGCGAAACGGGAAGCTATTTGTTTTTATCCGAAAGTGAATCAAGGCCGGATTTTGAGGGGAGGTGTGGGGAGGTGCGCACCTCCCCTGAGATTGTTTTGCACCTCCCCTGAGAATTTTTGCACCTCTCCTGAAAAGTCATGCACCTCCCCTTAGGAAAGTTTCAATGATAGATCAAAGTGAAAATTTCATTTTGGTTGCTTAGGGTCTACACTTAGGGTCTACAAAGTTTATAAAATTGAAACAGTGATGGCCATTTATCTTTGTGTCAAGTACCCTTTTAATGCAATGTTTTGAAAGAATCTTTGTAGTAATTGTAATGAAGGGCAAAATTGGATTAGTTGTACAGTCATAGTTCATTAATTACACATATTTGGCCCGTTTTAAGCCTAACTTTCCGTGGGGGCGTGAGCTCTACTGCTGCACCTCCTCTAATTTTTTTTCCACCTCCCCCACTATATTTCCACCAAAATCCGGTCTTGAAATGAATAACAGGGGCGGATCTAGCCTCATCTGCAAGAAGGGTTGCAGGTTTTCCATGGGGTGATGCATGAGGCTCTCATCTGCATGCAGTCTGCAATACTACCATCCCAACATTATCATTAACTTCATTACTTGAGATGACCGAGTGTGCATGTTCGCCGTTCTGTTACGTTTTACATTATCTTTTGTTTATAAAGTTTATATCGGCTTTTTATTACGTATGCGTGACCGGACAATTGCAGTAGCACATGTGGTACAGTAACTTTGCTTGTTAAAGAACAGTGTATTTGAAAATATGGCTGTATAACAACCTCGACATGTTTACCTCCTCCGCAGGCCTTTCAAAGATTAGGGAGGCGAAAATTTCGGGCGGGTAAAAATTGGTGGGAAACAAACGGAAAGGCCTGCGGACTAATTTTCCAAGATGGCGGAAGCCACAAGCCAAATTATTATATCATTACCACATCAATATTATTATTAAGAGGAGATTTTTTTGTATGTTACGTAACACGCGCTCAAAACCAAATGCGTATAATATATCGCTTGAGGTTATGACTAAATTCAAAATTTTTATTTTTCGATACGTTTCTCAATCGGCAAACAAACTTAAAAAGTATGTTTAGTGCTTTATCTGTAAAATAATGCTAAAATGAAGAGATTTTAGATGGTACGCCAAAGAGAAAATTATGTCTGAAATCAGTCAGTTTTCGCCATATAAGCCGCTTATATGGCTATACTATGAAATATGGCGTCAATTTTAAAGCATCATTGATATTTGTACTTTAATTGACAATTTTTAACTATTCTTTTATGTTTCTCAACCGGCAGAGGCATTTAAAAAGGTAGCTAACTCTATAAACTAGAGAATAAAGCTAAAATAAAGTAATTTTGAGAGGAACGCCAAAAAGATTTTAGGTTTTGAACACTTTTCATTGCAAATACGTGACATTGAAAAAAATTGCCTCTTTAAAGTCTTTAATTACGGTACTTCTGGTATAGACCGCTAGCACAGAGGAAGTACATACAGAGATCTCACTTCAGGTTAATTTCGCGTAAGGGATTTTTTCAGTCCGCCATGTTCTTAGCAAGTGCCCTAAAGAGAGGCAGTCACCCCCCTGAAAACATATTGAAAATTTAATATTCCAGGGGGGTGAATGCCTCTCTTTAGGGTACTTGCTAAGAACATGGTCGCCAGCTATTTCGGAAAAAAAAGCGCCTTACGGTTTTGTAATGGAAGTTACACTTCTGTATGTCTTTATTCTGTGCCACTAGGGACAAAAATATACTTACACTGTTACACTTTTGGAGATCTGCCGTCAATGACATAGAAAAACTGCAATGAAAACACAAAATAATTTCAATGTGACAATAATAAGTATCACAAAATGCTGTTTGCATACTAAATACTTTTAATATACAGTAGAGAATGAGATACTGAAAAACATACAGCGAGAAATTTTATTTTCCATATCTTCACTAGTGAAGATATCGATCACGTGACTTTTTCCAATTTGCTTTTGAGCGTGAAATTTCACAATTTTTTGCTTGGGACTATATAATAAACAGAACATTACACGCAGGGTTTTCAGTTTTGTGTCAGGTTCTGGCTAATGGCGATGAAGCTATGGCAAAAGGGAAAAGCCCAGACTATGTAGACTCCAGCATAGAACCTGACACGCAGGCTATATGTAGACTGCACTTCACTTTCACAATCATTCGTGCATGCTCATGGATTATTATAAATAATAACATGACTAGAGGGAAAAAGTCCCAAGGACTTTCACAAATCTTCCCGAGGCGAAGCACGTTGGTCAAATTTTGCAAAAATTCTCCCACTCGTGCGGGCTCGTATTGTCAGCGGATATCTTACAGAAAGTGGGCAGTTCTGTGCAAAATGCAAAAGTTTCAATTTTTCACAAGTCCGCTGAATATAATTATTATAAAAATTAGTATGTGTTATTATTATTATTATTATAAATTTGAGCATACTTACTAGACAACAGCATAAGGAAGTCCCATCAAAGCTCCAATAATCCTGTGATATGATGCCAAACATCCAAAGTATGGATAATAAAGGAAAGCTATTTCAAGAGCAGTTGCAATGGCAAGAAATACTATAGATGAAAAATTAAATGCTTCAATTAAAGCCGAGCTAAGGTTAAGAGATGTAGTGATCCTCTACTGAAGAAATAAAAACTGCATGGTTTTTTATTAGTCAGTGATACTCGTCGGTAATATACAATTCCAGCTCTAGACTAAATTTTGATCTAGGCAAGAAGAACAAAATCCATCATTACAACTAGAAAGAGCATGTTAAAATTAGTAAAATTGCAAATTTTGCCACGAAATGTTGTAAAATGTGGAAAATATAGCCCTGCAAAATTTTCAAATTTTGTATTAATTTGTATTACACGCGGGAAAATGTACCACATTTTGGCCGAAAGTGGTGCATTTTCCCGTGCGTAATACAATACATATCCATATTTCCTCATTTTACAACATTTCGCAACCAAACTTTGCAATTTTACTAATTTTAACATGCTCTTTCTAGCTGTGGTGATGGATTTTGTTATTCTTGCCGAGATCAAAACTTAGTCTATATAGCTGGAATCATCCATTCATCTGTGATTGTCGCAAGAAATAAAAAAATAGGTACGCACTGCGTACATGTGGCTAGCCTACTCAGCCTGGTCGAATACAGCCGGCCTTCACATAGTCATGAACATTCATCACAAACATTCATTTTGATACAAAATTAATCATTACAATAGAAGAATGGTCAAACTAAAACAGATGCAGTATCTTTCTTACAATGCCAACAAATGGTTAGAATCACTTGATTTAAAAGCAACATGGTTTTGCTTTAATAATGATATAATACATACAGCAACTAATAATGTCAATTTTATTTTGTTTTTCAAAATTGCACTAATATGTAATTCACTAAGATTTCATTACACCGGTTTCTTGTTACAGATATATTCTGTTGTCTGGTTTACAAGTTATTAGCTTTTCTTGAATTGCTGGCATTGCAGATTTCATAAAACCTTTAAATTCAAAGTTCTTCATTTAACATAATGTATTTAATAATATATTATATTATATTTTTAAACATTTTTATTTATTGTAAGATCTAACAGCATCGGAATTTATAATGAACTCATCAAATCAATTATGTCATCACCGACACCACTAACTTGTATTGCCCTGACACTTGTGCAAATATCCTGATCTTCCTATATTATCCAATATTATCACCAGTCACCATATTATCAGCAAATTGATCAGAATATGTGTTCACTTAGTTGTTTGAAGTACTGTAGATGCCATGCATCACTATGATTTTGAATTGTGCTTTCATCTGCAAATTGTTTAAAATTAAGAACCAAATATTTACTGGCAGCTCACAAGACTGACACATTGTAAATGATGCAGGTATAAATTTAACCCATTAAGCAGCAGAGCTTCCCCATTGACGGGTAAAATCGTCTGGCGTTAGACAAGTAAAAGAAATAAGTAGGGTGCACTGGGGCACATTGCAGCTCATTGGGTTAAACAACATTTAACTGTGGCAATAAGAGTATGAATATGCTACTCAATTGACACTGCTGTTATTAAGTGCTGAAAAGAAATGTTGAAACGTGTCGATATGACCTCATCACATGGCTGTGGGTTTTCTTCTTCATATATACCCTCGTAACTGCAAGGGTCAGTGTTGTATGGTGATTGCACTAATGTTCAGAGACGTAGCAAAGCATCTGAAGTTTGGGGTGGGGTGCCGGATGTCAAATGGTCATCATTTTACAAAAATAACGACTTTGTTACACAAAGTTTACCTGAAAATGTCAAAATTTACAATGTACATGAGTTTTACCTGAGTTTCACAGTTGTGGGGTTTACAACCCCCCCCCCCACACACACACACACACACACACACGCCCGTGTCTCTACGTCCCTGCTGATCCTAGATCAGATATATGTTATTTACATCTGGACTAGATATCCAAAAATAAACTGCACCTACAGTTGCATTTCCTGGTTTAATAGGTCTAATGAATGTAAAATAATACATTTTCACTCAATTACTTCCATCTAGAAGATCCTTCAACTGTATGTAAACAGACTGAGCTTTCAGGCTAGTGACTACAATAGACTATATTAGCATAAATTCATAAAATAGTCCCGCCTGTTTTCTGTGTTAATTGTAGTTTTATACCTGCAAGTGGATAGGGCGGTTTTAGTATCGTTGTAAAATATGTAAACAATGGGCTTGCTTCTTATAAATTTACCCACATAATGGATAAAAATTCAAGATCTGTGCAAGAACGTTTGATTATAAACAGGATTATAAACTCACTATATAAAGCTTTATATCAAGCGTGATCAAAATCTCCTTGATTTCTCCTAACTTACCTTTTGTAGAACTTCTCTTATCGTTCGCAAAATTTTCGTATTTTTTTAAACAGCAGCTGTCGAAAAGACCTCAAAACGAAAATATTTGTTTGCATGAAATGTTTATCAGGCATGAAGTTCAAAAATTTCCGATGAAAACCGAAATAACCGATCGTCAAACTGTCGGGCCTCATCACTTCCGCCAAATTTCCGATGATAACCAAAACCACGAAACAAACGATCGCCATACTGTCGGCCTCACTTCCGCTCACGATAATTTCACGACAATCTGGACAGACATCGTTGACCGACCACCACCGCTCATCCCGTATCATAGTGGCTAGCCCGCGAACGGGCTAGCCACAAAAAGAATGTATTCAGTGTATACATACCTTAAAAAACATCCACCAGGTTTTCAAGGTTCGATGCCTTCAACCAATCGCTACCAATTGAATATCTTTTCCTGAAAACTCATCCATATTTATAATTTTTTGTTGTGATAATATTAAATTTCACAGCTTGATCCACGAGGGCGCAAAATACGATCAGCGCGCCTGAAATTAGGGTTTTGCTGCCTTAAAATTTGCGGGTGGGCAAAAATGAAACATTGATCTCAAATCTCCGGGGTCCTCAGCGACTATAACAATACCCGGCCCCCGTGCACGAATAGGACAAGAAAATTCCCGGCCCCCGTGAACTGCCTATCAGGCAAATTCCCGGGGGTGTCCCGGGGGGGGGGGGATGGTTACTTCAGGAATTGACTCATGCATAATTTAAAGCTATTATAATATTAAACTGATTGAAAGTGACTGCTTTCGTCTTTGGAATGATGGCAGGCTACCTGTTCATAACTCGTTAATATACAGTAGGTACATGCAAAATTTTAAAGCACTATTTTTGAATTTTCAAGGAAGAATTTGAACATTTGTAAATATAATTCATTTACTTCGAATCATTTTTTTTGCTCTGGTTACTGTTGCATATGTTCATATTATAAAAAACATTTCACTGCAAGTGCACATAGTATGCATATCTGTATTTTTATACTTCATACTGTTTTGTACACATGCAGCTGTTGCAGTGCTTCAGGTATAGCCTACCATGCTAGTCATACAATATACAAAAGTAATTGGAAACCGCAAATTCATATGGGATATAGGTGAAAATTGCACGTGGAAATAATACTTGAAACAAGCTACTTTCCCTCATGGATATAATTTGATGTGGTACGAAGGTTGCTAAACTGGGGCTGGTCATAATGCAGGACCTGACCTGATGAGGCAGGATGCATCATCACTGTGGACCGACCCAAGACAGGCTCAGGCATGGGCACATATACAGGGAGGCCGAGCCCCCCAGAAATAGAAATTCACCCCACCATTTTGCCACTTGCCCCCACTAGAAATCTTCCCACCTCGCCTTTAAAAAAATGAAAATCCACCCTTGGGCTCAATCAATCTTTTGGAAAACAAAGTTGCCTATAAGGTCATAAAGACCTTTTTATTTTGAAAATTGCAAAGTATTTGACACTGAACCCCCTCCCCCCCTCAAGTAAATCAATCCCGATGCCACACAAAAGAATATTTCTTTCCCTATGAGTTAACAATGAAAGTGTATTTTTTACAGATCTCTGGGATATTACTTTTACAACCTTAAAGATATGATTATGAAGACAAATGTCTGTACATTGTAGAGTATTTTGTACATCCTAGCTATAAATTTTTGTAATATCCACACAATATATAAATTTGTATCACAATCTGTGATTTAATAAATATTCATTTTCATCATTTTCATTTCTTGTTTTCTTTGATAACCTGCAAGAAAAGATCTTCTTAGAAAATCTGAGATTTTTCCAAATTTATTATGATATACTGTGTATATTCATGATCTAATTTATGCCTGGCCTGGTAGAATTCCAATATGACCCATCTATGTGTTTATTTTCAATGAAATTAATAAGAAAAATTCAATGAATGAGTTAAATAAAGAGGTTCAGACATGCAGGATTTTTATATGAAAGCTGGGTTTGCATGGTTAGCACTACAACTAGCCTAATACGAGACATCACTGTGTAGCTTTGCACAATACCTTATTTGAAAAACAATAAATCTCGGTTACCAGGACAAGCATTTTCTCATATAAATACATTAAGCAGACTGGCCCGATTGCCAAGCCTTTTTATGAATATGTTGATTTTGGTAGTAATTGTGGATATTCGCAGATAGGTTTTAGGAATGGTAAAAACCGACCTTGGACCGTGCACTTAGATTTTAAGCAAATTATATTTTTTTGCAAACTAACATACCCCAGCCTTCATATGTGAGACAATTTAGCTTGTTCAGGAACAGTTCTGCAGCACTTTTCAGCTCTGCACATTAGATTCACATATCCTTCAAAACAGCCTAATATGAACTTTTTAATATTTTGGTTGATTTTAAAAATGTCAAAAAATAACCTTGGACCTACCACTCAAATTTGAGTCAAATTATACTTTTTGCAAACTAATATAACCATGCTTATCCTTAAAGATAAATTAATTTGATCAGAAACAGTTTTGGGCTAATTTTCAACAGTTAAACTTGATGTTAAAGAGTAGACTGTTAAAAGTCCATTTCTACCAAATA